TTTAAAATAAGCAAATTATTTCTCTACTGCTTGGCGCGATGTAGGGAATCCAAACAACACTTGTCGATCAATTGCTTTGCTCGAACTGTGGTTTTTCCCATTAGAAAGCAATACTTTGTCGGTGCAGGGAATGCATATATTTGCGATTGTTTTGAAAATTATACAAGTAGCGCCGGTCGGGCAATGATAACTTGTAAGTTAGTGGTTTTTGATAAATTTCGTTCTAAGGTCTATACTACCTAAAAATGATATGAAATTGTCAATAGCGATGACGTCTATTTGTCACCCTAAGCACTTATTGAGTGACGTATTATATGGCGTCGTCACGAATGCAAGTTTTGTATATCGGATTAAATGCCTACTGCATAACATCATTCCTTCGACTGTTTGTTTAAAAACAGCTACTCCATTGCCATTTAAAAGACTCCTTTTGGAATGGGTTTCAAGAAATTGATTCATCTCTAATCTAAATTTTCTATACCAATTTGGATTGACAAACTACGCCATCCAGCGACTTTTGTCGAGAAATATTCAAAATAAATTATTTTTTCTATATGAAGATTTTTTCAAAGTAGGCTTTTTAAGGGGAATTGTCATCACAAATATACGATCGAATCCATTTTGGATAGGTAAGGGTCGTCTAAGTAAAAACATCTCAATACACTAAATTTGTAGTCATAGGTTAATGACAAATAGGTATCGACAGACATGCTTGAATCGATACAAGAAATATTTCTCAATTCTTTGGTATAGAAAATGCCGGTGTTACCATGTGGGCTAACAAAAGTGAAACCATTTTGAACTTGGATTCATTCTTTTTATATCCACCGGAACTTATTGAAACGAAAAGAAGTGTTCAATATATTCGAAGATCCGTAGGAGGATTCGACTAATTTCAAGCTAAACTAACTTTTGAAAATCGAAAGAAAGATCTTGAAATCAAGTTTATACTTCTAAATAGATTTTTGATATCATAGACATGATGTCGTCAAGACCTCGGTTGCTGTTATCCACACTGGACAAATATGCATAATCAGTGTTTGCTTTGATGATTTTTGAAAATTGTTTTCTAAAGGTTTCATTTTGTAACATAAAAGCAACGAATTTTGGAAGTTCAATGTCAGAACTCTCTTTAAGCCTCTTCATCGGTGCGTATTTAAATTAAAAGTCGTAATCTTCGGTATATTTTGATAAATTTTGATACCATACATGCATTCGTATTAAAAATGATTTGGATCAGACTATTTTTGCGACCACTCCGCAGGCGAGCCCTCTATTCTGAAAATGATCGTTCCGAAATTATGTAAAATACTTAATGATCGCCTCTGGTCGACTATGACGTTTTTGTTTGTTATACCCTACAGCACTTGGTTTTACAGAAGAATTTAAAGAAGACTCGCATTTTGCTATACCGATCGATTTATTCGATCGATTATTTTCTAAAGGGATTTAAACAGGTCCATGTATTTTTTCGTTTAAACTACCGGTCGCATTAAGTATTATTGAGTATATTAAGCTTGTGCGGATGTGGGCAAGACTCGAGAAGTACTTGAGATAGATCTAATTTTTATTAGCGATTGTCTGTATGCTTGTCTGACTTGTTTTCTTGGGCTCAGTCTACAGGTTGCAAATTTTGAGACAAATTAATGAAATTTGACATACTGACGTGTTTTTACTCAAGGATGAACGCTGTTAAAGATGGTTCGGATGGACCACTGCTCATACAATCCCTTATCTTGAAAAGTATGTATACACCCATCATCTTTCGGTAATGGATGTAAAAATAACATGTGTAACAGCATAGTATCGCGTGAAAAAGGGGTGTATACAACCGCTCCGTATTTTTATATTGTACAATTACAAAGAATTTTTAAATTTTTTAAATTTTCTCTGAGTTTAAATATTGAAAAAACTAAGAGCGAGCTTTAAGCTCTACAAAATGAGGAACGACCAGACTATATTGCCTTGGGAAGTGATGATAAGATTTTTGCCGCGTCTTTTTTTAAGCTTTCCAATTGGGCTGATATTACTCGTTTTTGACATTGCATTGATATATTAAATATGAAAATTGTCCTGTCGACGTTAGCTGCGTTTGGGAAGAATAGGAAGTATATGAAAGAAAGAAGGCTTCAACCTTTATCGTTTTCTTATTGCGACTTTTACTGTGCATTTGCGATGAAGCCCACTGTTCTCTCAGTGGCTCAGTGGATGGGCGTAAACTATCGTTGTTAGTTATAAAGCGCAATCACTAGTTATTCATGAGATATTCCGTAAAGGAGAGCATTTGATTAGGTTTGATTTTTCAAGCAGAAGGGACATTTTGTTACCAACAGATGGAGAGTATTATAGATAAAACAACATTCGGTTTCAACAAGACTAGATCACACGCTAGACACCGCGTCCAAAAATCGATTTATTGCATGACAGGCTTGATGATGCAGTAATTTTAAAAAAGTTCGATACCAAATGGCGTTGAAGGAGACGTGAGATTGCTGGAAGTTGTTGGCCCAAAACTATAAATGTCTGTTTATGTACTAAACACATTTTGGTGAAATTAGATCACATTTGCCGAGAATTTAGTTTCATCGCATTCGCTGCGATAAGAGAATCTATCATGACATCGGAATTATGTCGTACTTAGAATTTAATTGAACCGGACATACTTGAAAGTGAAAAAAAGGAAAAAAAAATTATAATCTCTTCTGGTCACCCATCACTGTCTGCAATCTTTTATACCCATCACCGTCATTCTAAAAGAGACAAAACAAGTAAAAGAGCCAAATTTTCATGCTCTCTAATAGGAGTGGCGTGGCTGATGTTTTCAATTTTTGTAATAAAAATTTTTATTAGGCACGTCGGCATTGTAGACATGTCCTCGAGAAGTTTAGGTCACTTCCACTTTTTTAGTGATATCTTCGTTTGTGTTTACCACAGATACTACATAGTTAGGCAGACGAACGGACGAACATTCACAGTTGCATTCCAAGTTTGAAACTGGCCAAAAACTCATATACTTTGAATAATTTTTGAAGCTTGCGCTTGCGCCTTTATAAGGTATTCAAAAAAAAATGAATGTAGCCCTCATCCTTCGGTGATGGATATAAAAAACATTTGTCTTCACTCTGCCGTTTTCGTTTCTAACAAGTTGACTGTCATGTCCCTCGAATTCGGATGACAGCCAAAGTTCTTATCAGGACGCATCACCAAACTTCAGATGACGCTCACTTCGTATATATATACTTCGTACTTAATATAATTTTCGTAGAGAGAACAAAAGAAGAAGTAGTTTTCAAATTTGGCTTGCTTTCTTACTTAAATAGTCTGTTCCCGAAAAAAGATTTTCAACTAAGTGCATGTCGCGAAACATTTTATTCTAAACGTGTTTATCTTTTGCTACGTTACGAAACAAAATACCAATGTTATGCTCCAAAATAGATAATCCATTTTGTTTCTTAACAATTTTTTTGTAAGCCTAATAATCTTTGACAACGATAAGTAATAGGTGTACAAGTAAACTGCTTTCGTTTTTTTTTTTTTACTAAATTTCAAGTTTAATAATGGAAACATGCGCCATCATTACCTACGATGTTGCACCGTTTATCGGATAGCTTATGCATGCATGCCTTCGCGGTAGAAATTTGTGGGTTTTGGAGACGAAGTAGCCAATGGCCCATTTTTATACATCTTCAACTTCTGTGAATCGGTGACTTGTTAAATATAACGGCATCGACCTGAATAAGTGGCAATCGGAAGCAGGCAGGTCTGAAGAATACCACGAGATTCTTTAAAGGCTCAGTCTAAGTTGAAAATCACTTCCTGGGCTGCTTTTATTGAAGACATACGGACGGACTGTAGTGATATTGTCTACATACTTCACGCTTGTCTGTGACAATTAATTGTATTACATTCTAGGGCCACTCGAAAGTGCTACTTTAGGAGGGTTGGAGGTGTATGAGACCGATGTACGTACCTTTGCTTAGCTAGCTAACTCGCGAGATGTGGGAGCGGTTTAATGGCACTCCTCAGACTGTTGCAGAACGTATGCAAATTTCATCCTTTTCAAGGCACTAATTCTTTCCCCGAAATCTCGCAGACCACTTTCTAAGTGTTTTTCATCCCAAGGCAGCCTATTCGCTTCCGTAGTTTCGGCTGCATTTTTTTCTAATTTCATCCAGTGAAAAACACAGAAAAACACAGTGCCATAAATCGCACCCGCCTCTTTAAACTTGAAATATGCAACGAACGGCAGCTTGTAAACAAGTGCAGCTTACATCGTTCAAACATAAATATTTAGATTATCTGTACATGAAATTTTAGAAAGATTGAAGCTGTCAGATACGTTTTATGAAGCAATAAATTCCAGCGGAAATAATTTATTTGTACACCACAATAACTGTTGACAAAATATCTTTGTAGGCCGACATTATGTTGTAGCGCGATATGGCCACGGACATGACCTGCCGGAGATTTTCTTAAAAACTCGCATGGCAATCAACATGTTAAAGAATACTTGTTCAAAGACCCGATATTTGACTCTGATATTTTTTATTATTACTAATTCTTTTTTTTTTTTTGCTTCTTATTTTTTCAGTCACTTAGGAACCTTGTATTGTTGTTTTTACGTCTCAGAATCGGAAATGAATGTTATGAAGTCCTCAATACGAGTTCCTAATTGTTACAAACGGTGCTTAATATTTAGTGGTGGGTGCATTAAAAAAATTCAACCACATAAATTTTCATTACCGGCTAAAAGCATTTGCACTGTAACTTAAATAAAAATTTGATATGTAACTTAATAATCTTCACTTACCAATTTTATAAAGTTTTGTTACAAAAAAAAAGAAAGAAAATAAATGAATTTTGTAAACAAAAAAAAACAAAGCGAAATTACTTCCCATATTAAAGCAGATAAGATCGACATACTATAAAAGTATGCACGCAGAAATTGCTGCCGCTACATACGCCGTTTTCGAAATTGTGTGGAAGGAAACCAAACCCACCTTTGATTTTTGACTTTCTTGATGCTCCCATAATAGCAGCTGCGTTTTTGTGTTTTTTAGACGGAGTGTACGGAGGCAAGCGAGCGTGAGCTATGGGTGAGGAGCTACCGAAAAGATTATCAAATACGTCCGGCTTTCCACTTGCACCCACGTTTCCAGTTCGTTTCGAACTACGTCGCTTAATATTGCTATTATCTGGCGGCGGTTCGAAAAGATCTTCATAGTCGGCCGAGCCCGGTGAGTAAGGACTCTCAATATCGTTTAGGTTAAAAGAGTCATCAGCATTTAATGCTGCCCCACCATTTCGTATATTCGCACCGCTACTACTGCTCCCACCACCGCTGCCCCCAATTTTCGGGATTGAGAACATTTTTTTGGGCATAGTCGGCGGTGTCGGACTAGAGATACTAGGTATATGTTGAACGTTGCCGGAGGATAGTAAAACGTTTGAGAGAACGGTAATTGCGTTTGTATCATCACTTTTATCGCGCATAGACTCGTCATGTGGGTTAACGGAACTTATGCTATTAGTAAACTGTGAATCATTTGATTTATTTGCAAGATCCTGGCTGTTGTTTGCTGTTGATTTAGAATTCATCAGCGCCATAACCAAATCGACGGGATTAAGTGAAGTACCTTGCGGTCCACCGCTGCCTATACCTGGTATTTGATCTCTACGTTGATCGTCGACTGTGGCAATATGTTTTTGACTGGATTCTACACTTTCGCACATTGCACTTTGTGAAACATCAAGTTGCGTGGGCGGTGGCGTCGGTGAGCGTGGTGATATTGAGGGAGACTTAGTCGGTTCGAAAGGATCGTATGCATCTGGCGAACACGGGCCTGATTCTGGTGGTGTATTGGGCCCGATTTTCTGATTACTTTGACCATGCAGAGATTCTATATCTTGACGGTGTTGATCCTGTTGTTGTTGCTGCGCATGGTCGTCCAAACACGGATCGGAATTTAAATCATCGTCATCGTCTTCGTGAAGAGGATTTCGCACTTTGTTTTGTTTCTTCGGTTGCAAATTAAATTTCACCAGAGGTGGCTCTGGGGGTGTTTTAGGTCCAGTTTGTGGTATATCATAGGATTCTTCATGTATTGCATCTAATCTCTCAGGTGATTGATCCGAACATTGACCTCCGCTGGCATCCCCCCTTTGATTACGATGTGTTTCATCCAATTCCTTGGGGCTGGATTCACTTCTCCGTCTTTCTCGCCTATGTTCACGTTGACTTTCGTGATTATCTTCGCTGTCCGTTAGAACTATGACATCCGTGGGTTCTTGATGAACTTGAAAAGGAGACCTCTCTAAATCTATAATTGCGATGGGCTTGGTATCGATTTTTTTCCGTTTCTCTTTACGTTTTTTTGTATTCGTACTACAGTTCGTAAGTCTATCAATCGATATGCGTCTGTTCGAGAGTAAGTCCTCGCGATTTGGTGGTAATGTAACAATTGTTTGTTGTGGTACATGTTGTTGGGTCGAAGGAACTTCTTTGTTGAAACTAACACTAACAAGAATATTATTGCCAGAGGCAAATACTTCTTTGGATGGGACAGGTTCGGGAGTTTCGGTACGTCGTTTGCGTTTTTTTTCTTTGCGAATTTCTCGTCGTTTTTCACCTTTTTTCTTCTTTTTAGTGCGTTTACTTTTTTCTTTACGACTTGATCGCGAGACACTTCGTCTAATATCGGGTTGATAAATCGCTATGGCTGTATCATCTTGTTCAGAGTGAGGAGAGTGCATGGGAGGAGTCCATGAAATATTTTTGTCCTGTGAGTAATCATACTCCGTAGCAATAGCTGGTGGGGGGCTTGGTGACGGTGACCATTCGTGCTCCTCGACTTGCGATGTGATTCGTGGAGAACGTGTTCGACGTCGTTTCTTTTTTGGTGGCTTTTCCACTTCGAAAACCTCCTGACGTAAAATTCTTTGGTTGGGAGAAGGGGTTAGGCTAGGAATGCGTCGTTTACCCTTCTTTTTCCTCGATTCTTTTGATTTTCTCTTTTTGCCTTTCAAGCGTGGGCTTTTTGTGCGGGTACGGCTACGGCTACGACTTAAACGTGGAGTGTAGCGAGGTGATAATGAACGTGAACGAGAGCGTGAATGTGAACGAGTTCGTATTAATGCTTTACGCGGTTCCAATGATGGCGATCTGCCACGTGATCGGCGCATGATTTTACGTCCATTCATTTGATGGGTTGGACCACGAGAAAAGGACCGTGATCTTATTGCACGCAATGGGCTACGGGAACGTGGCCGGAATGGCGACTTTCTAATTTCAAGAGAAACCGATCGTCTCCGCATCGGCGTGAATCGCCGAGGGGATGGTGACAGAGAGCGATTACGATGTGTGGGCCCAGGTGATGGAGATAGACTAATACTTAGCCGACGATTGCGACGAGCTTGTATAGATATAGATCGAGAGCGCGAACGTGAACGTGATCGAGAGCGTCCTGGAGAATATGACAGCCTGTTGGGCAAGGCTCTTCGTCCTCTACTAACTGACCGGCTATTCCTTCTAGGTCGAGAAGTATCGCGACCGTAACGGTCTTTAATCGCTCTGTGTGAATGTTGACCAACTACATTACGCACGTCATAGCGAGGTAATTCTCGTCGTTTATTTCGTTGTTGACCTCTAGAAAAACGACCTCCTTCTCGACCACCGTCTCTGTGATTCCCTCCCCAACGATTTTGATTCTCTTTATTGTTGGACCTACTTCGTGATCTACCCCTACCCCGATTACGTATTGAACGTGATCTTGATCGAGATCTACCTCTAGACCGATTTGATCTATATGAACGCGAACGTGATCTTACAGGTGACTTCGTTCTGCGTCTTTTATCCGATCGCTTATAGTACTGTTGTTTGTCACCACGATAGTTACGTTCTTTCTGTTTACCGCTCACTTTTTTAAACGTCTCAACATTATCTTTGTTGCGTTTATCGCCCCCTTGCCGTTTGTTTTTATTGCGTTCTTTGCTGCGATCTTGATCATTTTCATCTTCGTCGTCAGATATCATTTCAGTATCCATGTTATCGATAGGTTCCTCGTTGACTTTTTCATCTAGTTTAATTATTTCGGGACTTGCCGCCTCAGATGGAAGTTGTTCGGGAACGGGTGCACCGCCGCCTTGATCGGACTCTTCAGTTTCATTCTTTTCATCCAAACAAGGTGTATACGAACGATCTTGTTCAGGATTTTTCTTGTTCTCGTCGCTGTCAGTGTGTGCTAAAATGTTTGCTGTAGTGTTATTATTAGGTGATACAATTTTATCATAACCTTTTGGTCGTTCTATATCTAATTCTTCCCAATCACTATCATCATATAAATCAAGTACCCCCTTTCGACTTGAGGCAACTACTTCCGTTTCGAGTGCACGCGTATCTGAAGCTGCAGAGCTTAGCGATGGAGCCCGTACTGCCGACTGACCGATGTCTTTATCTGAACGCGTTTGCTTAGACTCGTTCGATTTAAATATAGTCTCATTTTCTATTATGATGACGTTATCACTATCTAATGATGAACTGTCATCATCACGATCAGGTTCTATAACCGCATTTGTAATTTTTGTATTTTCATCATTATTATTATTATTATCATTATTGTCACCATCATCGTCATCGTCGCCCTCACCCTCAATTTCACGATCAACAGCTTTTTCCGTACCTTGAAAATTTTCATTTGTATCTTCGTCAATTTCTTCTGTAGGATTTTCCGGTTCATATAATTCTGAATTTCGAACCGTTGCTGTTGTTGTTGCTGTTGCTTTATTGGCTGTGATCGAGTTTTGTTTTTCTCTTGGACTAGGTTCGGGCGGCATTGGTATTTCATCATCATCATCTAATTGTACTAAATCTTCGTTCTCATCGTCTTCCTGAGAAGTGATAATTTGTGTATAGGAAAAAGAAAATGATATTCATGGTTAGTATACCATTTTTGTGGTTGTGTAGTGAATGTATTGTTTTCTGTATGTTTTCTGTTTTGTCAACATTTCAATTACAAAACAAAGCCCCCACGCCTTTTTCCTAACATAACAGCTAATAGATTACTGCAAATCAACCGATTAACAAATCATCTATGTACCGTTAAAAAAAAAAAAACATGAAAAGAAACCTTTAAGCAAAAACCAAGGGCACAATCATTGTTAGAAAGGCATACGAGCAACAAATGAATGACTAACGCGTATCTGGATGGAACAAATTTATAAATATTTATAAAAGCTTGTAGATATTCTTCCTAGCTGATCTGATTATTGTTGCGAAATAGGACTATTTTAAGCGGATGGAGCGAAATTTTTATGCTTAAAGTGCAAAATCGGTGCGCTGTTCATTCTATCTTTATCTTACTGGTTTTATCCTCAAAAACATCAGTGAAATTATCGGCTAAAGTCCCTTCTCTCGTTTAGAAGGAATTTCTGAACACATTCAAACATTCCCGACATCGTGAAGTGAAATTTTTCTGAACAGTTTCCGAATTTAAATTTAAAAGTGGACCTAGCGCAGTCACAACTGTATTTTGAATATGTAAGCTACCGCAATAACCTCATCAATAACTTGCTAGCGCGGTGATTAAAAAAACGACTTGACGAAGAGGTATCTTAAGAAGTTAAGTTTGTCGGCATTCTTGCGCCGAATACCATTTAACTATTGCCACATGTGTGCAGCCCTGGAAATAATTGAGATATATTTTTTTTTGAATTGCCCTAAGCACGCCAAGTACTTAAGTTCGCGCAAATGTATGGAACCCTTAGTATTAACTGGGATATAATTTCTTAAGTGCTCTAAGCACGTCTGTCTATCTTTCTATTTATTCAGGCATTTAGATTGGTGCAAATATGTGCAGCGTTTAGAAGTACATATATTTTCTGGATTGTTCTAAGCGCGTGTGTCTATCTCTCTGTCTGTTCAGGCATTTAAATTCGTGCAGATATATGCAGCCATTGAAATTAATTGAGATATATTTTCTGGATTGCTCGAAGCACGTCCGCTGTCTATGTGTCCAAGCATTTAATCTCGTACAGATATATGCAACGTTTAGACGTAATTGAGATATATTTTGTGAATTGCTCTAAGCACATCTGTCTGTCTCTTTGTCTAACTGACTATTTGCCTAAGCATTTAAGTTCGTGCAGATATATATAGCGTTTAGAAGTAATTGAGATATATTTTCTGAATTGTTCACAACACGTCTGTCGGTCGATCTCTCCATGTGTTTTTGTGTTCATCCTACAAGTTGAAATTTGCGAGATATTTTGGTGAAAAGATTAAAAAAAAATTTCCGCTAAGATTAAAAAAGGTGTTCGCTTTGGAAAGCCCTCTCTTAATTAAGCCGTCTTATGAAAAACATTTAATAAATTAATAGGTGGAAATATTGGATGAAATACAAACGTTTTTCGAATGCCTTTGTAGTAGGAAGTAATGTGCAATTTTCAATATTTTACCTACTACTTAATTTGGATCACATAGGCCCGTTGTTCGAATTCTTTCCCTTGTAAGTTCTCTCAGACAACAATGTATAATTTTTGATATTTTATGACGAGGATGCGTAGTACGGCATCGGATATTTAGTAGTTAGGCTTTTGCTCTTAACCGGGGAGCAATTATTTATGTTGTCATTGATGCTACTTGTCTATCCTTAGTCGCTTTGGCTATTATTTTGAACATTATGACAACATTTTTCATATGACATGGTTACATACACAATCCCGACAACCTTGGAACTGACTGTCTTTAAATTATTTATTTGGTTCTTATTATAAAACTGCACTAGTTCGCTTGAGTTTTCGGTTTTGACTTTACTTTGGTTCTTTATTCGACCTACTTCAACGGAGTGCCTCCAAATGAAATCTTTTAAAGCTCATATATGAATATGAGCAAGAAACCTAAACGCATCAATGAAAGTATTAACAAACTCATATACGAAGGCAAATGAAGTGAACATGAACGAGGAGTCTAAGCGCATCAAAGTATTAACAAACGAATTGATTCTGGTCTCATGAGAATGTGTCGCCATTCCGAATAGATACTTAAATAGTAAGAAGAAAGTAATAAACATTATACATCATACCTTAGCCTGAGTGGCTGCTTCGTTCACTGAATTGTTTTCAGATGATTTCGCTACTTCTTGCGATTCTTGAGAGTATACTGAAAAGTTTGGACAATTGGATGCGTCATCGTCGTTACCATAATCCGAATTTAGTTGAAACAAAGAAGTTGGCCCAGCAGAGAAATTTAAAGACGCGACAACTGGTGGCGGCGCGGGCGGTGGCGGTACACTCATCAAAACGGGCGTAGGTAATGCAATAGCTGCGGCTGGCGGTAAACCTGGTGGTGGTCCGCACACGGGCGGCGGTAGGCCGGCAAACAAACTGTTATCATTGGATGCGTTTATATTTTGCTGAAGTCCTAATTGTTGTATAGGCGGCGGTGGTAAATTTGACGGTATATTAACAACAAAACGATTATTTTGTTGGTGTTGTGTGGAGTCATTGCGCTCATTGTTGCGATTGTTTATGAATGGTAAAGAATTACGTTGTTGATTATTATTACGTTGATTATTTTGTTGATTGCGTTGTTGGAAGCGCAGTGGAAACGGTGAAAATGTAATTTGATTTTGATTGGGGTTATTATAGTTTGGATTATTGCTAAAGTTAAAATTGCCTCGTCCTACCATATGGAAATTTGATACTCCACCTGCAGCACCCACTCCACCAGTGGAATGTCTATATTGATTTCCACTACCAGTACTGCCGCCCCGATAATTCTGACCGCTGCTACTACTGTTATTGTTATTGTTGTAACGATTGTTATAACCTCCACCGCCACTATTGTTAAAACTGGCATTTCCTCCTCCGCGTGAATATAAAGGGGCTTCGGTAACAACATTTGCATCAGGACGATTACGCGGAATATTCGTCCTATCAATTTCAATCGCTGTTGCGAGTGGTGCTGTGCTTCCCCGATCTTCAGGTGCGTTCGGTAAGTTCAAAGTTCCATCGGGATTAATATGTACCTTCTCTAAGTTACGACTCGCGTTATGCCATCGATCTTGCATATTAATTATACTAGACAGTATATCGGAATTGTTAGTCGTTGGAGCGAAGCAGGCCGGACGTGATGTTTGATTTCCCATTAAACTTCTAAGCAATAAACCTTTACGGTTTCTGTAGGGGGCATTACAAGATACACGTACCGAAGTTTGTACGGCCATACCTGGGCCACTTTCAATGTGTATTTCATTTTCGATATCTTCGCCATTGTCACTGTCTGAGAAATATTCCAAATCATTACGACTCCCAAACAGAGAAAATGTAGCACCAGTGCCAGAGAGCTGAGACGTATATTTTACGTCCTTTTTCACACCAAACTGTTCAGCTAAGCTTTTGCTTGCCGCTTTTGCTTTACGTTTTGAGCGGATCTTTCGCCTCCGCTTTCGAATAATTTTTTTTGTTGTCTTAATAGCAAATTTTTCATCGAAATTATTCAAATCGTATTCAACAACGTATGTACGTCGCCTGCCTGGCTTGCGACGCCTACGTCGCTTTCTTGTCCTTGATACGCCACTATTCCTTTGATTCCTTTCGGCGACCGTACGTCTAGTTTTTGTCGTAGTAGTTGTTGTTGTTGTCGTAGTTGTTGACCGAAGTCTTCGCGAGGTCTGCGAAGAAGTTCTTGTAGCTACATTCATTTCCAACTGAGAACTACTACCCCTTGTACGTCTAAGAACAGCTGCTCTAATTCTTTCATTTTGACGCGTACGTAAAATTCTTGGTTGATGTACTTCGCGTACATGTAAAAGACTATCCGGGATACCCATATCCCTAATATCTTCATATAACATATTCAATTCCGCTTCCACATTATCATCTTCATCTTCATCTTGTGAATCAACGCAATTATCACAATACCATGATCCTTCTGGTACTTCCACCAGCGATGGTGTTAAACAATCCATATGATAGCCTTGATTGCAATGATCGCACAACAACATCACATCTTCCCGATCCGATCTATTACATATCTCACAATTTGTTACATCATCTTCAGATTCTAAATCAATATTATCTACCGATTTTTTATTAAGTAAATTAGGATCAACATTTATTTCGCGTAATATTCGACGATTTTCATATGATTCACGCACGATAATCCTTTGAAATTCGATACGATCTATCGGACATGTTTGCACATTCTTCGACCAAGCTTCAATGCAATTGGCACAAAAAATATGCTGACATGTTGACGGCGAACCGATTTCTTGCTGACGAAAAGTTAATAGACAAATCGGACATTTTTCTAATAAATCATTACTACTGCTATCCGATGTGAAACCATTTTCAACTTGAGCCTTTTCCTCTAATGCCGCAGCAGCGATTGCGTCTTTATTTAGTTCAGATTTTTCATCATATTCATTTTCCGATTCCAAAATATTCTTCTTTTTCGACGATTTATTCATTGTAATCTAAAAATATATAAAATTTAAAAATATCAATTAATATGTATATATATCTATATATATGTATATGTATGTATATATAATTTTTTTTATTATTTTTTTATTTTATTAATCTTAATAAGAAATATAATCATTAATACAATGAACATGTAGGCATTTGTACAGATTGATAGAACAAAATTTTGCATTAGAAAAACATGAACAAGCAGTTTTTTCATCGCCATGTTTCAGATAATGGTCATTATCCCTGCCCGATAAAAATTCTTCTTTTGAGGGAACGTACTTAGAAGTTTGAAGAATTTTCCCTTTTTCAATTTTCTCTATGTTCTTTATAAGCAAAGTTAATTATGCGAACTGAAAAGCACTTTCTAGCGGATTTAAAGTAAAGATACAGTACAGTAGTTGGATTTCATAAGATTTTAAGTTTTTATTTGTTCTTCATTGTTTTCCTTGTAAAGCATGCTTCAACGAGAAATGCATGTCATTTTTTTCCCCTAGTCTTCTATTTCATTTCTTTGGACTTTTCCATTTTTTAAGTTTCATAAAACTTACGTAGTTCTTCGAATGACGAAAAGGCAATGCTGCGCTTAATGATGTCGCCTTAATGCAACTTCAATCACGAGTATGTAGGTACGAAACTGGCGATTCTATTTCTTCGAATTTTTTCGCTCCCTATTATCTATAAATAACTTACTCCACTTATTTAATATTACATCATTAGACTATAGATTTAACATCTTAGATTATGGATTTAACATCTTTATCTTTATGCCTTCACCTAGTTGATATAATCTTTTTGAATGGTACTCTGGTATGCTGGATTGCCAGCGGCAACTAAACGAAAACCCATATACTCGGAACTTCAACTCTGCGATCTGCAGATCTTCTTCGTAGCAGGCGCAAGTTTCACCGACAATGAGTAGAAACAACTACTCTTCTCGGTGCCATCCAATATCGGTTGAAAGATTTTTTGGTACGGACTTCGCCTATTTTTCGGCTTGATTGAAACATTTACTCTCTTCCCAGCTTACGACCGAAAATGTGAAACACTTCTTACTCCGGAAGATCGTTGTACACTTTAAATCTCTTCCGCAATACGTACTCGTCCTTTAACCCATTAATAACATTAGAACATATCACCACTTACTGGTCTCGATGAAAGCCATGCAATCGTTGTCTCCCTTTTGTGCTATAGCCGTGCGTATGCCAAAGCGTATAAGTTCTTAGAAAATATATGATTGTGAGTAACACTTTCCTTCAAGAGTGGCCATCTCTTCACTCTAAGGCCTTCAACGTCTTTAAACCACTAACTCATTTTGGCTTAGATATGTGTGAACAAATGAAAGTACCCTTGACGTAACCTACGTCTAGGCCAGGGGTGGGCAACTGTTTCCATCAATAGGCCAATTTTAATTATTGTACCACTGCGGGAGCCAAAAAAAAAGGCTTCACGAATGAAGGCAGATAAAATCCATTTGCTATATGCGAGCAAATTGAGTTATTTGGCACTTTAAACATAGCAGGTCGCACTCGACTATATCACGGGCTTGCAGTTGCCCATGCCTGGTCTAGACTAAAGGATTTGATTTTCTAGCTGAGTAAAACGAAATACAATTTTAAAACAATTCTTATATACCAAAAGAAAGAAAACGAAGAATACTTGGGTCTTCTCTACTCGTCTACTTGTCGTTGTCTACTTGTCTTCGCCACAAATACTCTGACCGCTGATGGCTAGTACGTGCCGTTATAAAAGAGGTGAAGCCCTTTGTTAATATTGTTGCTGTTGCTTGCTGTTATCTAGATCCTGTTACCAATAAAGATAACAGCGTTGACTCCTAATAAGGTCATTGTCTATTCCGAAATGGTATTTGAGTTAAACAGTGATTTCATCAATAACTTTCACTAATGACCGTTAGTAAATTATGAAATATTATGTAATAATATAGCAAAGTATTTGGTTTCTCTCAATATTGAGTCCTCTTGCGAATGGAAAAGTTTCAATACATTTTAATATTTGTCGATATATATTTTGAAATTTTGTACGAAATTTAGTCTTTGGCTTTTAAGTTTTTGAATAGGATAATACCTATACTTGCACTCATTATTAGAACTTATTACATCCTGCACTACTTATGATATAAAAGTATATTAAGTTTATGCGGATGTATGCAGAAGGACTTGAGATAGATCCACCTTTTATTAGAGCCTGTCTGTCCGTCTGTCTCGTTTTCTTGTGTTCAATTTTTGAGACATTTTGATGAAATTTGGTATACTGACGTGATTTGGCTCCAGCATGAACGATACTGAAAATGCTTTCAACTGGGCCACTGCTTCAACCACTTCCAAATATGACACCTTGTCTTGAAAACCTGATGCATGAGTAACTGTAGGTTGGTGTGGGGTATTTAATAATTGACTGTGCCCCACTACTTTCATTTTACTTACATTTTCTAATAAGAAACAAAAACCTAGAACTAGGTACTAAAAAAAATTGGAATACTACTTAATGCTATAAGTAGCTACGACTCTTTTAACAACATTTTTATAATCATATTTAATAAATTTAAGTATCAAGCGTCATATGTTCGTTGACTTAGTTACGCCATCCATCTAGACTTTTGGTGTGATTTTGATAACTTTGACGGCATATACCGTCAATGTAATAGGAAGATAAAATGAATTTTATATAAGGTTAACCATGACGAAAATAAATTTCGAAATTTCTTGTAAATTTCGTCGAAGCGTTAGAATAGAAGAATATTCTCCTTGATATCAAGAAAGGTTTGCTGCTAATCAGTTTGCCCACTTTCCAAGATGCGCTTCAAAGAGATATATGTGTGCGTTTACTTTAATATTCAATTCTTATGATTGTTATCTTAACTGAAGCTACATCCGTGCAGGGATAGACTATCGGAGGGGATTTATACTGGCCCATTTGAGCCACCAATAATCTCGCTGTGAAAGCTTTTGAATCACACTGGAAATGTTTTGCATTTCCTTATAAAATTAAATATTGCCCTACTACCTGCAGAGAAAGTTCAGGTGCCACCCAACAAAATGTTCTCATAACCTTATATTAGCTAAACTTAACTAAGAAAATACATATAAACATACATGGATACATAAATATTTTATAGGTTTGCAAATAAAATAATAATTATTCATAACTTACGAAATCGAAAGTCTTAGCATAAAATTGAATTTTAAACTTTGTAAAAAAAGAATTGAAATTGAAAATCAATGCTCGAAAGCTAACGGTAACGAGGTGATCATCCGTTAAAGACGGTTTCAGTCCTTTCTCATAATCTTTGCAAATTTTTGGCTTTTACGGCGGTAACAGTAGCAAGAAAGAAGCAAGGTAGACATACTGGAGAATATAGAGGGCATGAAAAATGTGCCACAATTGCAAAACCTGCTGAAAATATAATAAAGTACATAGGACATGACCACCATTGCACACACCAAATTTCCGAATACGGAACACATATATGCCAGAGCAATTTTAAAAATGAACTTATTCGCTATTGATTAAAAAACCCTATTGACAATAAAGTCGTTCGCGTACGTCTCAGAAAACGAACTCTCTTGAAAATGGAAATTTCCGCACGTGGAATTTGGTGCGGAGATTTTCTTATCATTTTAACCATAACACAATTACTATTCTAAGCAAATTAGGAATTTTTAAGGAAACTACTGTCGCTGCCCTATATACACTTAGTAACTGGCCAAGTTTGAATATTAACTTTCCTGCAATACTAGCCATGGAGAGCAATAGGAAGGATTAGTTCATTCCCTGCCCATTCCTTACAAATGTTTCGTTATTACGATGCTATTCTAGTAAGTGGTATAAGCTCTTCACAGAAAGCCGAGAAAATATTAATGACGTTGTCTCCCCTGGACGGCGCAACACATCAACATCCGATCAAAGCGTTCAGGCAGGAAAGAAAATTGTTGTGGAGCATTTTCGAATTATTATTGGAGAAGTTATTGAAGGTGTTTGCCAGGATAACGATGACACGATAAGCGCCAGCCCACCTCCCGTCACTCGATCGTAATTTTTTGGCAAAAAACCGCATTGCAATCATGTCTTAGCCACAGTGTTCACCGGGCTTCACTGCCTGCGGCTTCTTCGTGTTCTTAAAACTGAAAAGACCCAGGAAAAAATCGAGCTTTGCCACGATTACGGATATAAAGACCGCATTGGTGGATGAGCTCTTGTCATACCAAAAAGCTCATATCAGAAAAGCTTCGGGGATTAGAGAAAGGGAATCTAAGGCGAATTACTTTGAAGGGGTCAAAAAATGTTAATGAATAAATATTTTTCGTGAAAAAATATATTTTTTGAACACACCCGCATTACAAAAACCTCAACCTACAAATCAATCGGTCAAAAAATTCCTTTTAATATAATCGGCGGTAGCTAAAGAGGAAGTGTATAAATGTATGAAGAAATAATAAACTCATGAAACAATGTAAACACTTGACATTCCGTTTTCATTAACTCTTATTAGATGCACAAATAAATTCCCTCCGCTGGAATTGGTTGCTTCATAAAACGTGACTCACTTATGTAAGTTCGAGTTGTTTGCTAGTTGTCGTCCAGCATACATCAAAGTTTAAGGCGATGGTTGTCATATACTGTACTTCGCTTTTAACTGGAAAGAATGCATCTGGAGTTACGGAAATAATTAATTGGCATGGAGTGAAAATGCAGTAAGCTACGAGATAGCTAAAAAGTGAATTTCGAAATATGGGGAAAAAAATTTATGTTTTGTAAACGATAAAAATTTGCGTACGTCCGCCAGTCTCCCGACAAAAAGAGCCAATGCAATATTTTTCATCTTAGGCTTGGTAATTTTACCGCATCAGCTATATTCCCCAGATCTGGCCTCTTTCGATTGCCACTTATTCAGCTTTTTACGAAAGTTGAAAATGTGTAAAAATGCGTCGATATCTATTTCGCGATCAAACCGGCTAGTTTTGTAGCAATTATATTTTAACTAAAATTGAATTTTAACAAAAAACGATGAGAATTGATTTGTACACCTATTATTTCCGATAACTGTGAAAGCGTATTGCACGTTTCGAAAGTATGTAAGTTGACCAAATAAGCCGTCTTTTGTGATCCATACTGTCCGCAGCCCTTTTTCGACATTTTGTTATATTTTTTAAGGAGTGGGAGAACATGATGCACTTTATTGTTAAAGTAAAAAGCGCGTCTTACTTCCGAAGCATTCCAATCACTTTTTATTACAACTCGTCCCCTTCTTATACAAATTCATTGTAGAACTACATAGCAAAATCGCCTTGAAACAAATCTAGGATATCAACAGCGTTGCTTCATGAGTTGTAGGCTTGCTTGTCACAACCATTTAGGTTCATATTCAGATTTCAGAATTGTATTTTCAATAAATTGACAGTTTAATGTCTGTAAATCTTTTTAACTTTTTAGTCATTTTAAACTTGGACCCTTTCTTTTTTTATAACATCACCATTCTCCTTTCTAATCATTTGCAAACTTTTTTTAAGTTGAAAATATTTTTGAACCTTGCGTACATTTTTTAGGCGAGATGCGGCTATAAAACGTAGTTGTAGGAAACGATACAGCTAGCTTAAAGTATAAATTCTTCTTCCTTCTAGTTTTGCCCCAAACACTTTCTTATAATCTTACATTGAGTTAACTAAATTAATCTGGTAGTATATGTATCAAGTTTAGTTTTCTACTTAACGCTGTGTATATAAATTTTTTCAAAACAAAAACAAATACATGACATCAACGTTTAAAGAGAAAGAGGTGGGAGTTCAGTTATCCCATGTTGACTTATAAAACTATCCGCTTTTCTTTTGTGATTTATATACTACATGAGTGTGGTCAAGATAACTAAGATAAATAATTTTTAAGATGAGATGTGTATAGATGTTTGGATTTTATCCCTTCCAAAGTTTACATCGATTTAAGATCGAAGCTGAATCTTAATAATATATGTAACGAATAAAGCGGAAGAAAAATTACACGTATCCCGATTTGATGCGTTACCAATATTAATATTTTTACTTTTTTTTTTTCTTTATGATTAAAAAATTTTCGGAACGCTGTGCTCTACAAATACAAAATGCTTTTTAGTTATTAAATGAGATATTTTAGTCATATTCAAATGAATGTTATTACCTCACTGCCACTTGAAGAATCATCTGAAATGATACCGTTAAAATCGTTAAGGCGTCGTGAGCGCAATCGACGATTTGTTGCATTATACTGCCGACGATTATAGGCCTCTCCATTAATCGTATTCTTACGCCGGTTATTGCGTGTTTTTGAAGTTAATGGAAGAACAGCGTCATTACGTGTGCTGACCTCTTCGTCATCACTAGTGCGATCCAGTGATGACGAGGAATCTTCATCTGAGTCATCAAATTCAATGCGCATCACAATGCGACGTTTTTTCTGTTGATCCGTACGATCGTGCGCCCGACCATTACTGCACGATGGACGGGGATCAATATCTTCACTACAATCAGGTGAATCCTCCGACATTTTCGTTCTTATTTATCTTCTCTAAGCGCAATTATATATGAATTTTATATATTTAAGCGATAGGTGTTGAGAAATTGCTTTATTTATTTCTATTGTGAATATGTGAATAGTTAGATTAGGCATAATTAGAAAAACAAATTACATATCTGGCAATAAAATGCTCATTCGACTTAAACAGTATAATTTTTGTTAACTGAATTACAATTCAGTCCGCGGTAAAATTCTATGTATTCTCTGTTATCATAACACTAGATTTTGTTTGCATACGTGCTGCTGCTGGTGCTGCTGCGAGTTATTACTTACAGCTGAAACGGTTTACATAAAAAGCCAAATTGTGCAACTAATATATTATTTGTATTTTACTGTTTCTCTCTGTATGAATTAAATTATAATTAATCGATGTGTAATTTTAAGAAAACTACTACACTGCATATAAGTATATATATATATTTTTTTTTCTTTAATTTCTTCCGTTCTTCATAAAAGTTGAGTTCTTCTAAGAGAACAAATTTACAACACTTTTTCGGGCATATATTTGTCACACAATCATATTTTCACTATCTGTCAGTAGCACTGAAAACATTTCTTAACACGTTTATGCATTTTTCTTATTTATTTAATAATTTATAGCTCTACATATCATTTTTTAAAATCTTTGCACATTTATTCAATCGTTTTTTTCGCCATTTTCAATTCTTTTTAGAAGCTTCGTATTCGTAATTTTTCTTGTGTATGGTGAGAAAAATTTCATATTAAATTGTTGCCTGCACTGTGTCTCATCAATAAACTAAGACCAGTGCTGCCAAACAAGGGATAAAAAATCAATTTTATAAAGAGCAGGGTAATACTGTTGCCATGATGTTTTAAATTCTCCACTTCCGTTTCACTCTTTTTTGGTAAAATAAAAATCTGTCAACATGGGTCGTATGCACGCTCCTGGGTAAAATTGTGATTTTTTACATAAATTTCATTGAAATTTATAATTTTTGCTATCACACAATGATAAGTGATATACTGTGTCTACTAATTTTGGTTTCTAAAATGTTTAGCAAAAGTTGATAAAGGTTTCTTCTGCCATTAATTGATCAAGTGTGTCGCTTGTTATGTGTGTGTGTCGGTGTATCGAAGACATGCGATTAATATTCTATTTTCTTTTCTTGCTTACAGTAAGGGTATATCCCAATCAGCTTTACCTTATAGAAGAACAGTTCCATCTTGGTTGAAATTAAATGCCGAAGATGTTAAAGAGCAAATTAAAAAATTAGGGAAAAAAGGTTTAACACCATCCAAAATAGGTAATGGAGACTAAATTTCTTTTGTAAAAAAAGCAAGAATGTTGGAATTTTTTTCTTAAATTTCCAGGTATCATACTTCGTGATTCACATGGTGTGGCTCAAGTGCGGTTTGTTAATGGCAATAAGATATTACGCATTATGAAATCTGTTGGACTTAAACCTGACATACCTGAAGATCTATATCATATGATTAAAAAAGCGGTTGCTATACGCAAGCATTTAGAACGTAATCGCAAGGATAAGGATGGTAAATTCCGTTTGATTTTGGTTGAGTCTCGTATCCATAGATTAGCTCGCTATTATAAAACGAAAAGCGTACTTCCTCCGAACTGGAAATACGAATCGAGCACAGCCTCTGCTTTGGTCGCGTAAGGAACATTGCTTCGTACTAAATTTTCTTACTGTTTTATAATTTACAAATAAAACGAAAAAAAAAAAGTGTAATTACTATCAAATTTGAGTAACATAAAGCAAAAAAATAGCCGAGAGTTGCTTTCCCTCCTCTTTTTTTTAGATATTTTTCTGACTGCTTGAAGCATATGAGAGTAAGGTGGAGAGAATTTTGCATTTCTTGCAAGACCAATGCGTCGTGTTTTGTTTTGTAGGGCATGCTTAAGGACGTGTGGTATCTTTCGACGACAAACTCGTCCTTCTGAGAGACTTGTGCGATATGAGAATCGAATGCACATAATTTCAGCTAGTGATAGACGCCATAAATAATTCCAAAGGAAAAAAAAAACAGTTGGCAAACTAGCCCCGTATTGGAATTGGTCTGCTGTGGGATGACTGTACGGTTTTCAATAATAAGAATCTACAAATCGAACGTGAGAAAATTATGTTCGTTAGCGACCGAATTTTTTATATCCTTCAGCATCACGTTGTCCTATAAACGATTTCCAAAAAAAAGGAAAAATATAATTTCCATGATTTTTTCTGTTTTTATTCCCTACACTATTTGTTGTGCAGGGTACATTGAGTTAGTTAAGATAGACTTGCATTTTAGTATACGGATCCATTCAGAATAATAATCTGAATTTGTTTAAGCCTGTCTGTCCGCCTCTCAGTAAATTTGTGTTCAAGCTACAGAACGCACTTTTTGAGATATTTTTATGAAATTTAATACAGAGACGTGTTTTGACCCAAGGATAAACGCTATGAAAATGGTTCCCATCGGTCCACTCTTAGAAAGGATCAAAATCACATATAGTCTAGTGTTAATATACCTTCGTGTGCTGTACCACAAGTGGTGTAAAGTATAAAAAAAAAATACAAACGTACAGTAAAAAAAAATGTACAGTGATCCAGGTAAAAATGACATAAAGAGAACGATACTTTATTTGCTCGTAGAATTTGACCAGTTTAATTTCACTGTTTAATTTGATAAATTCTTTTATTAAAGTCTTGACTGGACAGAAGAAAAAGAAGAAGAATTGAGATAAATTTTTCTTAAAAAATGGCCATTAGGCATACGCTGACTGGACAAAAAGTAGCGTAAACAAGATTTCAAGACATCTTTAGTTACGCGTGTCAAAAAAAGTTCATCCTTACGTTATACTTTGGAATTGGAAATGATCAGCCAGTGAACACAGTCTATGGCAACACTAAGCTTACCAAGTCAACCGTTACATTCTAAAAAATTTTCCAATTTAATAGACATTATAATAGTTGCTTTCACTTTATGTTGTTAAACATAGAAATCAAAATTGTTTTTTTGTATTACGCCCTCAGTGTTATATTAAATTTTGTTGCATATTTGAAACATTTTAAATTGAGAATAAAAACTGCTTTCTAGTGCACATATTTTCAAGCAATTTTTACCTGATCTTGCTAAGCAGCTGACTTTCATCTTCATCCTCCTCCGTTTGTTATCCTTCGGAATAGCAGAACTGATTTAATAGCACCTGCTCTTCTGTCTTCTCGTTCAACTTACGGTTACAAGGAGTTGGAGGAGCAAACGCTTTTGGAACTGTTTTCTTTTTGCTCTTGTCTTAGTGCACTGCTGCCCATACATACTTAAAAGCGGATTCCTTTTAAGGTTTTCCCAATTAGTGATCATAAATATTGGCTGATGTCGCGCACAAGGTGAGAATTAAAACAAGTGAAAACTCTATAGTGGGAGCGTACTCACCGTATCATATAACGATTTTTCAAAATAGGACGTTATATTGGAAGTTGGCGAAAAAGCGGACCATTTTCACTATCATTCGTCTTAGCATCAAAACACGCCAATGTATCAAATTTTATCAAAATGTCTAAAAAAATTGCTACCTGTGGTTTCAACACAAGAAAGCATGACAACGGATAGATGAGATTAGAAAGTGTTTCACAATTACTTTCTAAATCGAGCGGTATAATAAAATGTGGATCCATCCCAAGTCCTTCTTGGTGTTGCAATTATCTTGCAACACTTGTGTCGCAAGTAGTGTAGGGTACAACCATTGTCTCAAATTGGATACAATTTTTTTACATGAATAATTATGTAGCAATTATGTAATGCTGATATTCTCAATAACACTTGAAAACCCATTGAAAACGATATTACATTATAAGAAAAGGAAGCGATTTATCCAATATTCGAATTTTGTTACGTTAGAGGAGAAGTAAATGAGCGAACTTCGAATTTTTTTACAAACATATATAAAATGATGCTGTACTAGTGTCCTATTTGTCGGTTTTTTAAGCAAAACGAGTTTTTACTTGGCAACATCTTTTTACGCTTACTCTCTAAAAAACCCAATTTTTAAACGAACACATGTTCAATTATTGAGAAGTGTAAACAAACATATACGCCTATTCTCTAAAGTGCCCAAATTTTATACGCGAACAGGATATTGCCCGGCATTAATTACTGTAAATTTTGTTTGTTCTGAGAGGACATTTCTTTGATTACTTTGCATCATCAAAGTATTTGTTGGCATTGTTATTATAAAATACTGTATTACTCGCGCTTGAAGAAGAGAGAGAGAAAAATAAAGAGAGTAATAGAAGCATCACTTTTTAACACCTCGATTCACAGTCATATGAGAGTAATTTAAATGAGCGAGTCGGAAACCTCCTCGTTTCATAGTCATGTGAGAGTAATTTAAATGACCGAGGCAGTGGAATATGTAGACGGTCCAAAATTTTGTTCAAATTTTCGGATTCTTGGAGACTTTTTGTGTGTTTGTTATCAATAACAGTGGTAACGCTGTTATTTAGCAGTCATTCCTTTGTCTGCTCTTTCGTTCTCATCATTTGTAAGAGCAAAGATTATGTTATGAATTTCTTGACATGACGTCGCATTCTCCCAACCATTTGCACGGTATGTATATAAGTGTGTATGTACGAAAAACAGAGACTTATGAAAATTTTCTTTAAAATTAGTCAAAGCATTTGGCGAACATAGAATTTCGAATTTGACAATTCTTTAAAATAAAGGGTTAAAAGAATACAAAATTATATTTATTACCTGCTTTTTGGCCTCCTTTCGTACATATGCACTTAAAAGCATATTACAGCCGTAGAATTTTGCATGCTTCGTCTTTCTAAACGTTTAAGAGAAAGCGACGTCATATGAAGAAACTATTAACAAAGTCCGTTCTCATACAAATAACGAAAATGAAACAACGAGCATACAAGTGGCTGCTAATTAACAGTATTACTACGGTTCTTGATAACAGACATACTAAAAGTCCTCAAGAATATCCGAATCTCAATTTTAAAGCAAATATTGGAACATCTACGTATTTCGCTCTAACTGTTATTATTCTCAGTTTAAAAGGTCTATATTCTCAATTTAAAATTTTAAAATTTTGCGTAGTTGTTGGCAGGCGCTTAAGCAAAACGACGACGAATTTTTACTTGGCGATATGAGAATATTGCTGAGAATTTTTAGCACAAAATTTTGTTCGCTCTGAGACGAAATTTCTTTGATTACTTACTTGTCATCATAGAGGCTTATTCACTAAAGTGCTGAATTTTTATAGAGAATTGCTAGCATTGTTATTATAAAATTCTGTTTTACTCAGTTCTGAAAAAGAGAGAGAGAGAAAAAATAAGGAGAATAAGAGAATAACCACTTTTTAAAATTAAATGAATATAAATCTAAACATTTTCATATATTTTTTCAGTGCAAATTTTTTTTTTAACGTGCGGATTTCTTGTCGCGATAGCTTGTGCGAGAAATAATAATATAAGGGTCTTGGTCGGGGTTAAAGTGTTTGTTCTGTTTTATACTGTGCGATTTTGGCAATTTGTTTAGAATTTTTTTTCCGCTTATATATACATACATAAAAGTATTTAATATGAAGAAATGAAATTTAGAAAATATAAAAGTACACAAATATAAGCAAAAAACGAAAAGAAAGTATGTAAAAATCAATAGAAAATATTTTTTTAAAAGAATCGGAAATCCTGTGAATTGTATGTGTGAACGTATGAGAAATAATAAACAGATCTTTTTTTTTCCTTCATATACCAAATAGTAAATTGGTTTTTTTTTGTATTAGAATTTTTAACACTCCAGGTAGCGAATTTCAGTTCTTGTTGCCGACACATACACATGTACATACATTTATATTTTTGATGGGTCTAAAGTTTAAGTAATAATGATGATGACGAAATTTGGATTAATGTGCAGAATAAATTTTAAGAATATTCGAAAAGAATTAAATTAATTTTGTTTTGTTTCAATTGTTGTTGTTGTTATTATTATGCTTACACGTGATTAGATAATTATACCGACTTATTGGTACTAAGGAAAAAACAAAAAAAAAACGAAAGAGGAAAAATTTTATTACTTTCTCATAGTAATAACATTAATGCAATTGTTGACTTATTTTCCATATGCTTGTAAGAGACATATACCGTTATTTTCATTATTCTACTCGAAAGTTAATTTGCACTTGAAAATTCATTTCCTTCTCTCTCTCTCTCTCTCTCTCTCTCTCTCTTTTCTTCACTATATTTTCTATTTTATTTACTCTCTCTGTGTTTTGTTACGTTTATATCTCGAATCTGTTTTTACTTTCAACGCAAGTGTTTATTGTTATTAGTTCTTGTTGTTGTTGCTGTTCCGGTCTTTGCTTTTTAAAGAACAACAACAATATAACAATATTAATAGATTTGAAAAAAGTTTGTAAAGCAATATAAGCAGAGGCGAAGCGAAATTATTAAAATTATTAAAAAATAACGAAGTGGTGGCTTTATGCCACTGAATAAATATTTGTGTGATAAGATGTCTGTTTATGTGAAATGAGTTTACATTTAAAAGTTTTGTAGAAAAGTTTATAGTAACAACAATAAAAATAAAGATTATTTCTCCCAACTAATTAATATCATGATAGAAAAAAGCACGTAAATGTTCTATAAGAATTATGACTGTGAGATTTCAGAGGGCAAATAACTCAAATTTCATTATGAATTTTTTTTTTTTTTTTGCTGGTTGTAATTTTGAATATTCATTG